GCGAGTTATTTACAGCTACAAAGTACAGTAGAAAGTACTTTAAAACGTGTCCAATTCTCTTGTTCTTTATGCTAAATGCAGACGTAATTTCTTATTGGCAGCAGCCTGTGAATTATTGTACGTTACCAGACAATTTCTTTCCTCTCGTGGTCCCTTAAGGCATCTACAGGAAAGTTAGTTAAATGTTTAGCACAGTCGGTTCCAGTCTGCTTCACAAACAATGAGAATATGAAAGTTTGTCCTTTTCCGTATCCTATGTGATAAGGTATTTCCGTCAGCCTTTAGAGGTGAGATGTTGGCTTAATAAAAAGTTTATTGATCATAAATTTATTGATCGGTCCTCAACTGAAAACACCCACTGCACCTCTTGCACATTTACTTACCAGTTTGATATCCGTTCACTGTACGACTTTAGCACGGCTCCTCCGCATTCTCCCTCGTCTGGAGGTAGTCGCTGGTCGGCAAAGCAGGTTGAAGACAAATTCAGGGACTTCGACGTTGACCATCACGGGGACGAAGACGGCAAGTTATTGATCTTTCGCACGGTAAAGTTGAGGGCTCTAGTTAAGTATAATATTGGAAATGGACCACGCTGTACGCATCATTGAATTTTTTGAAAGCAGTGCGCAAACTTCTGGACTATTTTCCATCAGGACAGTTTTTCTAAATCACCTTAGCGAAAATCATTTGACGGAACGAAAGCGGTGAAAGAATGGGATTTGCAAAATTCAATCTTTTGCAACGACCCATCTTAGAACTAGGATGATGCCAAAATTTCTTCCAAAATTCCATACATTTTAGCCCAATAAAAGTTTTAATTAGTCATAAATTCATAACGAGTAGCAAATTTGTCCATTGTGCGACTCTACATTATTAGCATTGGCGTGTATTAGTAGAAATGCACACTTCACTCATGGACTTACTAAAAGAAAGGCTCTCTTTTCAAATTAAAACTATTAAAGGCCTCTTTTAGGAGGAGAGGAAGTGTTTGAAAAGGTAGACGTACGCTTTACGACTCCACCAACAAGAGGTGACCGACGAACGAGCACAGTCAATAGAGGACAAGGAAGTGTACACGGAAATACAGGAGATGGTGGAAGAGAAATCGAACTTGATGCTTGATTGTCTGTATAGGAATAATTATTATTGAGCTATTGTTGTTTCTTGGGAATATCGAACTTGGCAGCACCATCGAATAGATGCATGTACCAAATGCGACACTCCTACCGTTTCCTTTTAAAACAAACCTGATGTCTACAGTTGTTTTCGATTGTTTAAAAAAACCGTTTTCTTTTTTTAGCTTGATGACCAGGTAATATCAAATTTATTCTCAAAACACAGTTG